CACGCACAGACACACACACACACACACACACTCACACAGACACACACACACACACAGACACAGACACACACACACACACACACACACACACTCATGCACAGACACACTCATGCACACACACACGCACAGACACACACACACACTCACGCACAGACGCACACACACTCACGCACAGACACACACACACTCACGCACAGACACACTCACACACACACACACACACACACACACACACACACAGACACACACACACACACACACACACTCATGCACAGACACACACACACACAGACACACACACACACACACACACACACACACACACACACACACACACACTCACACACAGACACACACACACACACTCACGCACAGACACACTCACGCACAGACACAGACACACACACCTCAGATGGGTGAAGTGCAGTTTTAAATGTCAGGATTCAGTGCAACTTATTTGAATATCAGTCGTGGGATTGTATAAATTAAAAACATGTGTTTAAACGTTAAATCTTCATAAACATATTCTGCATCTCAGCTATTTCAAAACAATATAGAGAGAGATATTTTTAAAAAAACACGTGCAGAATTAAAAAGAAATGCAAAAGATGAAGCAGCATGCTCAGAGAATGCTTATATATGAATAAAACACCTCAGTTCATATTTTTTTAATAATTTTCACTCTGCTGATATTGTCTTTCTTGTGTGATCCTCTGAGGATGCGGTTTCATCTTTTACATTTCTTTTTCTTTCTGCACTTGTTGTTTTTACTATCTCTCTCACATTGTAAATTGTTATTTTATTTAAATAATTTAATCATATAATATATGAAATATTTAATGAAATATAAATGTTATTACATAAATATTAACATGTAAATACACATATCAAGGTGTTTCTATTTAAATATAATAATAATAATGCATATACATTTAATAACAAATAACATTTAAAATTCATTTTTTGCATTATTAAATAAATTTGTTATTATTATTATTATTTAAATACTATATTTAATATTAACTATAATATTTAAATAATAATTATCATTATAATAATAATTAACAATGGCAACAGTATATGTATTTATTTAAATTATTTAATCAAATAGAGACACACATTTATATATATATATAAAATATAAATTAAACGGTCAGTAAAAGTTGTAAAAACTAATTCTAAACAGCAGTTTAACTACATATTTTATCAATAACGGTAGACATAAAACGACAATCAGTGAACATTTATTTGTACTGTTTAATTGCAATGAACTGTCTGGACAAATATATGTAGGTCAGTGTGTGTGATTATTGCTTCAGCTCACTCGACTGTAAAGCTGCGTTTGCAACACAACAAACCAACAAAGAATCAAACCCACAGCATCAGGTCAGAGGTCAGAGGTCAGAGATCACGCCACGCCACGCTGCTTTCAAACAGCTACTGAATATGATGCTAGCTTGCTGCTTTCAGTGATTCGCTGCACAACACTGACCACAGACAGCACAAAACACTATCCTCAATACTCTGACTTTAGTGCTTCACAGCACACTGCAACACCAGCGACATCAGACACGAGCGTTTCCCTCAAGACCAACTACTTCCTGCTCCTCCTGAGACCCAGCTCTGTAGTGGACAGAGACCGCCACAGTTTTATGGAAATATGATCATATTTTGTTATTTAAATCAGATTAATTTTCAAATTATTTGTCAAAACAATTGAATAGGAAAAGAAATAAATATAAATATATAACAGTGCTGTCAAACTATTAATCGCGAATAATCGCATCCAGAATGAAGGTTTTTGTTTACGTAATATATATGTGTGTGTTCTGTGTATATTTATTATGTATATATAAATACACACACATTAAGTATACATTTTGAAAATATTTACATATATAAATATATCTAATATGTAAACATAAATTTTTTTCTTAAATATATTCATGCATGTGTTTGCATTTATATATACATAATAAATATACACAGTACACATACATATATTATGTAAACAAAAACTTTCATTTTGGATGCGATTAATCGTTTGACTGCACTGCTATATATATATTTGGGTTTGATTCTAATATATATATATATATATATATATATATATATATGAAATATTAGATATTATTATGAATATCTGGCCAATTATTACTCCCATTATTACACTTCTTTTTCAACATGCTGTCCCAACAGCATATTAACATGCAAATAAGACACAGTGTATAGACGCATTGTGTTTAATGGGAAACCCAGTTAATGGAAATTTTACACACATATTGCATAAATCAAAATGGTATATCAAATATTTTTCTTAAGCTCTAAACAATGTAATGATATGAAAAAATACTAAATTGACAAAGCTTTTTTTTTCTTCTGGTTCTCTGTAGAATATCCATCTACATTAAACATGCTAACTGTTAAATAAAGCCTCTCCGACGGACGTGTTTCTGCACAACATGGACAAACCCTCAGGAGCTCAGACCGAACACTCGAGCTGCTTTCTCTGATTAATAATACATGATCCTGACCACTCCTGTGTGTGTGTGTGTGTGTGTGTGTGTGTGTGAGAGAGTGTATGTGTGAGTGTGAGTGTGTGTATGTGTGTGAGAGAGAGAGAGAGTGTGTGTGTGTGTGTGAGAGTGTGTGTGAGTGTATGTGTGAGTGTGTGTATGTGTGTGTGAGAGAGAGAGAGAGAGAGAGAGAGAGAGTGAGTGTGTGTGTGTGTGTGTGTGTGTGTGTGTGTGTGTGTGTGTGTGTGTGTGTGTGTGTGTGTGTGTGTGTGTGTGTGTGTGTGTGTGT